TAGAACTAATGGATATCGTGAACCGATAATTTTTCCAAGGGTTTTCGATTTAATAAACCGTGTATATGCACTGAATGCTCGCTAGACTTCTGCAAGCTGCAAATATGCTTAAAAAAAATATATCTACCTATATTATTGAAATGTATGTAATTTGTAACCTGTCAGCACCGCTAGAGAAACCTCGTGAAACATGCAACGTACAGAGACAACTTAATATGGGCGCGGTGGTCTAATGTGTGCATATTAATTTTAACGCGTAAAAATCGTATATTGATAAACGATGACGTCCGCAAGCAAAACGACGAGCGTTGAAAAAGTTTTTTTGGTCATGGGTTATTGGGTACAGGCTTACAGGAGACAAGATATTTGTTGTTGATTTTTTTGTCCACGCACACCGTGAATTTTTCTGACCTATGAACGGAATATTTTAAACTTGATCATTCAAAATAATATATTGTGTACATTACGGTACATACACGTCGAAAACAGTCAACGTGCAAACAGTACGCCTATTACTACGCACACGTACCTACGCCGTACTCGAATGTGCAATATTATTTTATGTATTTATGTAATGTCACACACACACATCACACATGCTATTGACACAATTGTACGTAGAACACGATGGTTTTTTTCCTTAATTCTCAATTTTTGAAACCGGTAAATATGCACCGGTGTACCGTTAGCGCACTAGGCGTGAAATATCAGAATATCAGTATACAACATATTATTATTATAAAGTTCACGGAATAGTGACCCTCTCGCCGCGGCCACGGTTATGCGTATATTATACATAAAACATATATGTATATGCGCATAAACCATGTGTGTGTGTGTGTGTGTATGTGTGTATAGAATTTAGTGGACGAGAAACAATAATTGAACACCAAGCCAGCGGCGGCGTCAGGACAATAACATTATTTTTAATATAATCTTAATGCTCGCGTGTTCTAAAAATAAAAATAAAAAACATGAAAATAATATTTTTCTTTCGGGGCCTGCTTATCGCCTAAGAGAAAACTACACGCGCTCGAGATCCGTAACGATATGAATATCATTATTTTTTTCCTTTTAAAGGGTTTACGATTATGTATATATTATATTATATACATTATACTCACACGTAATTACATCTCGTCCGATACTAACCGGGTTAAACACACGATACGTTGGAAACGCGTCCGTCACAATCACATTATATATACACGTCTATAATATGAGTAGGTACCCGGTAATACCGGGTGATCCGTTTAACCTTAAGGGGATTTGATACCGTGATTTTCTGTTTTTGTCTAACACACGCGTAACATAGTATTTAAGACGTGTTTTTTGCCAAACATACCAATTGATCTAAAGAAGCGATAAGAATTCTGAAAACAGATTTGAATTTGTCGTCAAGTCTACTTGAAATTTACTTTCCCACATTTTTGATATTATCCCCCAAATTTCTAAAAATGTCATATAAAAAAAGAGTATTTAAAAATGTTTGTATATAGTCACTAATTATTTTTCAAGGAATTTTTTTTTTACCATATTTTACTATTTCTTATCATTCAGTATCAACTATCAATCCTAGAATCGTAGTATTTCATCATAAATATTATGATAACTATTAGTCCGATTTTTATAGATTGAAATAATCCGAATAATATTCTGCTTCGGAATATGAAATTCAAAATTTATATGTTGTCATTCAAGGGAGAAAAAACTTAAAAAATTATAACGATAAAAAATATAATTTTTTTCCAAAAATGTTTGTTTTAAAAATATGTAAAATAAATATTTTTAAAAACATTATTGTTTTCTGAAATAACTAGTGTAATAAATAGTGTCTTGCATTAAATGAATCACTCCGTATACTACGACTTCTTTAAAATGTGTTGGAAATATTATTATGTCAAAATATAGAGTGTAAATTAAAATATATTAATTATGTATAATATGTTCGATAATAATCGATTTTGGTTTGTACAATTTATTACTGTTGAAGCACCTAGATGTTCTGTCGGACTAAAATGAAAATTATTGCTACCTACTGCTTAGATCGGTAGTTTCTGTGTATTGCGAGCCTACAAATTATAAATCCACTATAGGATACTACAGCAGACAAAGATATTTCCGGATTGCTTATTTAATTGGTTTTATATAATTTTTCAATTTTTGTTGTTTAGTGCAATGTAGATATATGAGCTTATTAGGACGCAGAAAGTATTTTTAAGCTATTTTAACAATACAATAAAAACTATTAACATATCGCGATATTTATGAATTATACCCACATTACGTTTAAATTGTTATTAATTAATTATGTACGAATAATTTATACATATTTACGATATACCTGTCGAAATTCAACCTGTAAAATACTGTGACATTGATATTATATTCTGTCTTAAGGGGATTGAATTCAGACTGTGTTTCTAGTTTCTACCATATAGACCTATCTGATATAAATTGTACCGACACTAGGATTGATAGTTGGTACCCATTAAAGTCGGATATTTTTTTGGAAAAATATTTGAACTGTGAAATTATAAAAAATGAATATTTGTCTTGAAGTTTATTTAAAAACAACTTTTTCACTTTTTTTAAATTTAACTTTTAACCCCTTCAGCATTGGATTTTTAAATTTTGAATATTAAGAATTTCGGAATGTTAATACTTAATAGCAAGTAGTAGAAATAATTTTAAAACGCAAGAGAGTCGATTTCCTGTAAACTTCTTAACGAAATCAAATATATGTTTTCAGAAATTTTACCGGATAACTATTAACTAGGTTAGTTAATACAATTAGCAAATGGTTGATATTTTAATACACAGAAAAAAAATAATATTTGTGTAGTTATTGAGTATTATTACCTTATAGCGTGTGCACGCTATTTCTTTTACGCTATACCTACTACTAATAATCATTGTCTAATGACTACGCACACACATTTACACGACACGGAATTAGAAAATTGCCTATATTGAACTCCTTATAAAAATGGTCAGTATCGAATATCCTTAAAACCGGTGAGTATGTATGCATTATTATTATTGCGCTAGCGCTAAAATCGTTAACCAATTTCAACGGACACAAATAAACCATTATATTAAATAGGTGGTAATGTGAGTTAAGTACCTTGTATTTATAATACAACATTGTAAAAGGCATTAGATGAAAAAATAATGTATGCGAATAAACGAGCAGCTAACTGGTGCAAAACGAAACGGGTTCGTGTTTCTTGAGTATACAGTGAGTTCGCCCTCACCCTGCACTCTGAATCGTAATTGCCACGTGCAATTCTCGAAAAATCTCAGACGATAAATATTATATTAAATTATTATTTAATAAAATATAATCGAATAATTGACTCATAATATAATATAGAGAGTCCGCGATTAGCATACCTAGTTAGATTTTCGGATGAAAAATCGATATACCTATATTATATTTTACATAATAATATAGTGCATATAGTTAACGCGTACTTATAACAGTATAATAATAATAACGTTGAGTAATGATGTGTAATGTGTATAGTACCTACCAACTATAGTGTAATGGCGTATGATCTTTTTACAGAAACGATAAAATCGTCGGTATAATATAGTTATTTACATAACCGTTTGACGCGGTCGAGCGGTTTTCTTTTTAAATGTCATACAGTGTTATATCGAAATAATATAACTGGCTAAAGACGTATATAGAGGGAAGAAACCGAGGCATAAATACCGACATTGCGGACGTGTCGCCTCTTCATATACGGACGGTATGATGGACTGCGACAGAATACTAAACTCGCCGACTCGCTAATACTCTCCGTGCTTATATACCAGATACCTATTACCTATATATAATGTATATATTATATATTATCGCGTAAATAATTTATAACGCTGCGATATAGTGTCGTCTCATATATCGCACACGACGACGTCAAGACGTGTTAACCGTGTAAACGTTACGAATAACGATTCGTCACTGTAACGTCGACGGGTCACTCGGTATACAATATATAATGTCATAATATTATAATATTAAATGTGTGAACTGTGGGTGGTATATAATAATGCGTCGAGTAAGCATAGCGCGTCTTTACGGCTGCAACACGCAGTTGCACACCCACGCGTGACGATTTATGGATATTTTTTAACGGTTATGGAGAAAATGTTTTTGGATGGAAAAAAAATATCTTTATTATCATATACTAACACGGGTCACGCTCTCGGTAAAAAAAAAACCATACTATAAAAATATATTTGGTGTGCCATTGATATTTTTTTTTAAATTGAAAAACACTTTTGGACCGAGTATACGAGATTTTCTTACACGCCTAGACGTTCTCTTTAAGGCATACACAATATAGGTACAAGCGTATTACGATAAAATTATTATTATAATAAAAATTATTAAGGGGCCTGCTCGCGATTTTTCAAATTTTCCGCAATTCTATAAAATTTGAAAATTAAATTTTATATTTTAGTTGCCACCTCAATTATAAGACTTTTCCACTAATCTACTACCCAATACCTATTTAGGGGGGGGGGTTGATAGGGTGTATTATATCGGTCAAAACACAGTTTACAGGAAAAACTCTCACACCTCGTAGATTGGTCCGATTTCCGTAATTTTTTTTTGTTAGATAGAGGAATATTTTTTACAGGGCGCATTGGCGATTTTTGATTACGTCGCTAAAAACAAAAAATAATACAAGAACTAAAAAGTTGTAAAAATTGATTAAATTCAAACTTGTAACATAAGACTTAGAAAAATAATGTTGAAAATCCAAGTCCAATGCGCCCTGTAAGAAGTCTTCCTCTATCTAACAAAAAAAAAATTACGGAAATCGGACCAATCTACGAGGCGTGAGAGTTTTTCCTGTAAGGCATGTTTTTGAGCAAAAAAACAGGTCGCGTGCAGGCCCCTTAAAGGTTTGCACAACTCACGCGTAGCGATCGATGATTCTGGAGACGGGTGGTCGGCGACAGTTGCTGTAGCAGGCGTACACCTATTAATCGTCGGCGCTACCGTAGTACGCCTTGATGATCTTGTGGTACTGCGGTACGACCGCTGCCGAGTTCTTGCTGCTGACCACGTAGAATCCGTTGGGCTTTCCGTTGTTGACGAACGACTTTTTCACCGGTTTTCCGGCCCCTCGGGGCTTGTAGTAAAGCGTGCGGCGTGGCAAGATTTTGGAACTAGACGACGACGGCAGTTCGAAGTCACCGGCCTGGGAGTGCTGCATGTGGTGTATCTGCTGTTGCATTTGCTGCTGCTGTTGCTGCATCGTGACCATGTCGTTGACGCCCTTGTAACGTCCGCCGCTGAGCGCGTGCTTGATGGTCGGCAGGTTCCAGTGGTACACTTTGGCAGGTTTGCCGTTGGACACGAAACCCACCGGCACTGTGTTCATGTTCTTGTAAGGCACCTGCTGGTGCGGCTGGCCCAGTCTTTGGTGGACGGCCGAACCGTCGTCGTAAAAGTGTGAATGTGGTGGCAACTTGACGATGAACATTTGCGAATCCGAACCGCCTTTGCCGTCCGCGGCGTACTTGCTCCTCGACTGGCTGGCCAAGCGTTTCCGGTGATGGTTGGCACCGCCGTTGTCACCGGCACTGCCGCTGGTGGTTCGCACCCTCTTCATGCCCAACCTATTCAACAGTTTGGCGTTGTGCTGCTTGCTCGAAGACTGCTTCGTCGGCGTTTTGGCCGTCACCGCCGATTCGGCCGTGGCCGCCGCGGACTCGTCCACCGCGTACATCACCGGAAACCGTTGGCTGTCGTATTCGTTGGCCACCTCCGCCACAGTGTCACTGACGTCGTTGCCTTTATTGTCAGTGGACGTCATGTCACCGCGGTCCTCTTTTTGCCTCTTCGCAGCTGTCGGTACGACGCCGAAAGCAGCCACCATCAATGCGGCTATCGCAAACAACAAAACTATTTTACGCATTTCGTTGCTTCCCTGCACACTTCTGAAAAAATATAAACGCACGAAGTTAGTCGAGGTACTTATATACAGTTGTAATACATGTGAATATAGATCAATTTTATTTATTTTTCAAAATTAAATTTATGAACATAAATTATTTCATGCATTTATCACCAGTACACAATATACATTATACTGCGTTAATTTTATATTCAATGTGGTTAGTTATTACTTTATATTGTGGCATTGATAAAATCGTGAATATGAATTTTTTTGATTCTAATTAGATAGTTGATAGTATAGGTAATATATATATGATTTTGATTTGAATCAAGTAACAGTCAGTTTCGTTATCGTGCACGGAAAGACACAGATGTGAAGATGAATCGTAGGAGAGGCTAAATGAGTGGGGCAGGACACAGGAAGCAACGAATATCGCGAGAAAGACGAGGGTGGCAGGAAGATTTAGATGATAAGCATGGCTAATATAGGAAGTTCGAGATCCCCGCAGTATAACCCGGTCCCAGTACAGGAATAAATATGTATGTGCCTTCCAAATGTCATTAAATTATATCTCAACAATATAGAATACAAAATAAACCGTAAAAACCTGTATTCATATAATCATATGACATATACCTACCACAAAGTTATTTTCATAATCAAGTAAAAAAAAAATGTTTAAGCCACATTTAAAGATTTTCGGGCATGCTGCACGTCGATCCAAATACAAAACGTTCCTATTGAAAGTTTGTCGTTAAACCCAATATCAGTCTTATTATGTTGTATAATATATATGTAGTACCTATAGGCTATAGTATATGCAGAGTATACATATTATAGAAGCTATATATTTGCGGAGAAAAACGCAAACGTAGGTCGTAGGTTCATACGTATTTATAATATAACATGACGTCTATACGCTGACACCGCGTGATCGAGGACTACGACGCTTCGGTTGTGCTGCAGATGACCCGCCACCGGGCCAACAAACTAATTATAATAATTTACGCACGTTTTTATTTTCTATTTTTTCATTCGTCGCACGTTTTGCAGCCATATAATTGTTGTGTTATAAATTATTATAATGGAACTCGCGTGAGCGGTGTCGGTCAACCGCTTATAATAATATATAGATCTGCATTCGTTTCGAACGGTACGCAAGATCGTTGTCGTCGTTTTACAATCCCGTTGAATATTCGTGTGTAATGTAGCGAGTTTAGTGAGGGGCGTATAAAAGTCTGTTTTACTAGTTAACTATACCCACGCACTATAGGTACAATCATAATAAATGTAGTGTGTTGTGGGTCTTTGCGATATACGTGTTGTTATATGAAACAGTTCAATTATCATAATATAGCTGTTATACACATGCCACGACAAATTATAGCGCTTATAATATGATACTTCTTTAGAACGTCATAAAATTATCGTGCCACGTGGAGAGCGGATGGCACTGTACGTGAAGTGTCGAATCTAAGTTTCGGTGGGCCGGGGACCTGGGTGCAACTAATAATATTTATTTATTTATTTATTTTATTTATTTATATATATTTTACGCCAATCGGCAGTTAAACAATAATACATAATATGTAGGTAATAACAATTAGATAACAAATTAGTAATAAGCATAAAAACTCTAAACAAAAACTAGAGCGTACAAATAACAAGAGCAGCCTGAGAACGCAGCCAAAACAGCTAAGGTATATTTAAGTTAGTAACTCTGAGCATTCTGTGAAGTGGATGATTGTAACCATAGGCAGTAGAGTGATGGGGAACATAAAACTGGTCTAGGTTTCGTATTCCACGGGTAGGAACTTTAAATGGAATTTTAGCAAGTAAGTTAGGAGCGTCTAAAGTACCATTTAGAAGGGAAGTTAAAAAGTGTACATCTATATCGGTGCGACGCGTAGAGAGAGATGGGATATTAAACATTTTACGTAGTTGGACATAGTCATGGGGGGACACGTCAGTTTTACTCGTAAATGCTAAGTAGCTTAGGAATCGATTTTGTACCTGTTCTAGCTTATGCTGGTGTCTTGCAAGGTATGGGTGCCATACCACAACTCCATACTCGATAATTGGTCGCACTAATGTAAAGTAGAGGGAACGAAGACAATTCACTGATGTGAAATGTTTAGTGTTGCGTTTAATAAATCCGAGAACCTTAAGAGCACGTGCTACTATTGCATCAATATGCTGGTTAAATGAAAGAGAAGACGTATAAAGGATACCAAGGTCTTTAATTTGGAATACTTGTTTAAGTGGAAAGCCATTGATGGAATATGTTCTGTTTGTAGATGAACGTGATTTAGTGAAGGTAATTGAGTGACATTTGTCAAGATTAAGTACCAGTCCAAGACGATTTACCCAGATAGAAAATAAATCAAGCTCACTCTGTAGAACAGCCTGGTCAGCCGTAGAGTCAATTTTCAAAAATAGTTTGATGTCATCAGCAAAGAGAAGACACTTGGCCCTGTTAAGGTGTTGGGACAGAGAATTTATAAAAAGAGAGAACAGCAGTGGACTTAAGTGCCCTCCTTGAGGAACGCCTGATGGAATGTTGATTACGCAGGATGATACCCCAGCCACTTTTACAAATTGCTTCCTACCTGTAATGTAAGATTTGAACCATCCGAGCAACGGATATCCAAGGCCTAGACGTTCTAATTCATAAATAAGCAGCTCGTGATTAACCGTATCAAATGCTTTTTTAAAATCAGTGATTATGACGTCAACTTGAGAACCAGTCTCAATGTTCTCAATAATGTATGATAGAAAGGAAACACCATTTGTGCAAGTAGATTTACCTGGCCTGAAACCATGCTGCTCATCAATCAATATATGATTAAGGCTACGTTTAATGCACTGATAAACAACAAGTTCAAATAGCTTGGCAATATGAGAGATTATTGATATTGGTCTGTAATTAGTGACTTCCGAAGCATCACCAGATTTCAAAACAGGCGTTACAGAACAGATTTTCCAGATATCAGGGAACGTACATTCATCCAGAGACCTTCTAAACAAAAGGAACATCGGAATGTAGACAGACAAACGACAGTTGAAAAGAAAAATGGCCGGGATTGCATCCGGACCTGTGGAGGTTTTATTGCATAGGGAAGATAGCGCTGAAAGAATATCCTCCGGTGAGAAGTTGCAATCCGATGGGAGATCAAATGACAGACTAAGAGGGCTAAGTGATTGGGACTGATTTGGGGTAGAAGAACAGAAGACTGATTTAAAGTAGTCAGAGAAAAGGTTAGCAGAATCGGAAGGGTCGTTTGAGGAATGATCACCAAAGCGTACTGAAACTGGAACTTCAGGATGTTGTTTAAGATCACGCACATATTTCCAGAAACTACGTGGAGAGTTGGACAATGCTCTTTCTGTTTTTTTGATATACGCGTGGTAGTTTGACTTGGAGAGATATTTACATTTTGCCCGTAGCTCAGAGAAAACATTATAGTCTATTGGAAGACCTGATTTTTTAAAAGTAAGGTGGGCTCGCTTTTTTTGAAAAATTAACCTTTTAAGTTCAGGAGATACCCAGAGAGGAAATTTATGTTCGTGGAATGTTTTGATAGGTATAAATTTATCGATGGCCTCCGATAGCTTACAATTAAAGAAAGAGGCAGCATCGTTGGAGCTACGATTAGAAAGTTCTGCTACCCAGTCAGTACGTGATAGAAATTCATTTATAGGTTCATAGTCTACATTCTTAAAATCCCGAAACGTTCTAGGTTTATCGATACCCCGTGGACGTTCTAACATATAATTTATATCTAAAGGTGGGTGGTATGGATCAGAAATCACTAATGATAGGCTTGACTTATATACTGAAAGGTCACTCAAATTTGAAAAGACTAAGTCCAGTAGGCTACCATGGGCATTGGAAAGAGAGTTGACCTGGAAGAAGTTTAGGAAAGAGATCGAGTCACCAATTAGCGCGGATGCACGTGTGGAGCTCCCCAATATTTTGAGACCAATGTTATCACGTGACCAAACGATGCCTGGCATGTTGTAATCGCCACAAATAATTGTGCTACAGGGGGAGTACACAGATACTAGTTGTTCAACAGTATGTGAGTGTTGTTCATACACGTCAGCAGAAGAGTTAGGAGGTAGGTAAATAGCACCGATTAAAAATTTAGTTTTTAAAAATGATAGAGCTACAAAAACTTGCTCTACGTTAAGGCAATTGTTGACGATTAAGGAAGCATTAAGGCTAGATTTGACCGCAATAAGGACTCCACCACCACGGGTGGATGAACTTGAGTATGAATTTCTGTCAAATCTGAAAATATGGAACCCAACGAAACCTAGTTCAGCGTTACCTATGTCTGGCGTGAGCCAAGTTTCAGTTAATATGATTATATCATAAGAATCAAATAAAATAAAGTTGCACCTGAGAGTGTTAAGTTTCGTTCTAAGGCCACGTACATTCTGATAGTAGGTTTTAAGGGGATTACAAACAATATTAGAATCTGGAGACGCACATTTTTTTTTTAAAACATCATTAGTATCAGCATTGATTAAGAGATTATGTGTAGAATACTTATTAACAAAACTATTAAATTCAGTTAAAAAATTATCAGAAGACGCCAAGGCGTTTTTACAGGTAGTACAGTTTAAATGGTAAGAGGCATGCATGTTGGCTGTTGAGTAAAGTGAAGTTGAAGTAGATTTGCTATTTGCTGGCCCTACCGTTGGCCAGCTGCGCCGTTTTTTGGCTGCATCCTTGTAACTGATGGGACACCGTTAATATACTTCACCACAAGATTTAATTCACCAGCCTGCTTTCTACGCTCAAGCTCAGCATGGGATGAGCGGAGAAGTTGACGTTCTAAAGATGTTTTATCCCGAACTAGCCGGAGACTATTTGAAATATTACAGCCATTTCGGATTGATTGTCTGAACTTTAGCAAAAGGTTGGCTGCTTCATCTTTAGATTTAAATATAAGTTTTAACGGTCGTGGCTTCTTAGAAAGATGACCGCCAAGACGAACTACTTTGATATCTGTAGGTAAGGTAGTATTGATGGAGGACAAGGCCTTGGAGAGTTCAGTAGTATCATCAATAATTCGCTGATTGGGAGAAGAAGAACTTGATTCAGGAACATCATATGCAATAACGCTTAAATCACACGAATTTCTTTCTGAGATTTCACGTAGGACTTTGGTCGGCAAGTCATCATTGGCAGGAACTATATGGTCAGTTTCAAGTATAGCAATACGAGCTGCAAGTGAGGAGACTTCATTGCGGAGTACCAGGTTATCACTTTTTAAATCTGCTAACTGTTTAGTTACCGATGCCAAGCTCACCTGAAGTTCGCGAAATTGTGAAGATTGTGATGCTTGCATTCCGGTAATGGCTTGCATAAGATCACCATTTGTAGGGGTACCAGAACGGGTAGCCGGTTTAGAGCCAGTTGTTATCATGGGCGATTTTGATTTATTGGTAGTAGACATAATCAGAGAAATATAGTATTTGGAAATTATCTGTGCTCCTTAAAATATGCGAAACGCAACTCAACAAACAATCAAGGTAGAAGAGGCAAAGGTAAACGCTAGGAAGAAAGCGTGAGTTGTTGAGCGTACCTTATTTTTGTCACCACGAACGACAAGGCTGTCTAAACAGCTGATTCGCAATAACAAGATCGCAAACAGAGATTGATAAAAAAAATGTACAAACTCACGTGTAACTGAGGGCGGCGAAAACTCAAACGGACGTAGTAATGGTACTGGACCACAAGTTAAATCGCAAATAGGTACGCACGAAAACTGTAGCACGACGAGTAAAACTAATACGACGCTCGAAAAACTAAGACAGTAGATAAATTAACCCGGATAAATATAAAATGAGATCACACTATCACTGACTTATCACCAGGGTCATATTGAAGACCCCTTAAAAAAAATTGTTATTTATAATATTAATTTGATGTACCTATCAGTTATATATATTTTTTTGGTATTTGTTAAAAGTGAAGATGGTTTTAAAAAAGAAAACTTTTCAACTAGGTACCTCGTTCATCATGTTTTCATTGAAAGAGTCAAAATTATAGAGATAAAACTGAGTCCATAAGAATTAGTTTAAATAAACGGGTAGTGTGTAATTCCTTAAAATACTTTATTTTTCTTGGTTATTAGGTATTCAATATTATTTACAATTTATCACTTTACAAAGTTAGAAATTGCAGGACATCATCCGATGGGCTCTTAAAACAAACTCAGTCTTCAGGTGCATTTCACCCCTCGCACCCCTGATAAATTCGGCACTGATTATGCGTATGAAAAATATACATCCTTGCAGGTAGTTATATTTAATATTATAATATGCAGTTTGCAATATTTTTCGTACTCATGATCATCTTCACTCTATTTACCACCATCTCTCCAAATTCGCACCCGATGGGAATCCAATTTTGAACTTGAGTAACAAAAAAACCATCGTATGAAGACTAAGGGACTCTCGCAACACGGCAATGCGCATTTCCGCTATTTTTTTTTTTCAAATACTGCTTTCGAATCTCATTGAACTCATACACGCTCAACACGTTATTCTTATAGTGTATACGATAGAATATATATAGTACATATTTACTATGCATGGTGTCTGGTGTCGCGTTCAGAAAAACTGAATAAATGTTTTCGTAATGGCTGTCCGGTTCACTTCCTAATTTATAGATACATTTATTGCTTGAACTCACACAATACGTGGTGTCTCTCACCTATAAGTCATAATGAAATAAACATGCTCTATCTAGCGGATCTCTGTATGGTCGTAATTTAACGTCCAATACATTATGAAAAAAAAAAATCGTCGGTCGATTGATACATGCATACCTATTTTAGTTATACTATGATCACATAGGTAAATAACTTTTGCTTCAAAAGAACTGTACGAATTGATGTTAGGAAACAGTCTAATATTAAAATGTGTTGTAGAATGTTGTGGACTGTAGTACCTTATATGTGCCTAACTAATAATAATGTACAAAAATATAAGTAAAAAACATAATAATATGCATAAATATATATGTACGTTTCAATAAAATATGCATGATGACAATTGTATGAATATCATAAAAACAAAAAAAAAATATTATTTCACTCCACGATTGTATATAATATGTTTTATTAAATTTTACAGTTATATGGCGTAGGTACCTATACAAATCATGAAATTTTTTAGGATATTTGGTTAATAATTATGATGTTGATATAGACTTTTATAACTATTATTATAACTTGTAAACTATCGTAAATTATATTATTAAGAAGGTATATTATAATATGCTGTACATCTACTATTTTATTTAGTTGACACTTTACACAGGTACTTAACATTTAGGTGGATGGTAAAAAGTTTGCCAATTATTAATTACTGATTTATCAATGAAAAATAATATTTCTGTATTATTCTATAATATATTTTATCAATTTTCCATTTTTTTTTTCGTAATTCAAGATTGCAATAGTGGAAACGGTTTAATGTTCTGCATTCTGCTCATTTATTTCGTAGACAATACAATTAGTGTTCGAAAGATTTCCGGTGATAAATTATAAAAAGCTTAATTAATTTACCGTTATAATGAGCGTCACAGTATGTTCAGTATTGTGTTAATAATAATAATATTCCTATGACAAAATGACCTATTCATATTAGTTTTATACTTTTGTTATATAGTTGTTCGTTAATGTAGGCACTTACATATATTTTATCGTTAAAGTTATTGGTTGTATACCTAATAGAAAAATATTTACTATGTCGTAAAAGCCAAATGGATGATTTAACCGTGAAAACCGTAATAAGTAACAACCGTACGATCTTCGTGTAATTTTCAACTCAAAACATAATATTATACAGATAGATTATGTAATATGTACGCTTCAAATAATATTTTACTTATTTTTACATATTAAGTACTAAGGTACTTTATGTCGGGTTATGTCTCAGTACATAATTTCAACCATTGGATGAAGCGATGACCGGCGCCTGGCAGGCGGGCATTACGATAATGAATCATGATTTCGTGATATCGTTAAAAATGCAAAATCACTTAGATCACGCATTTCACAGTCAATCAATATTGTACATTATCAGAGTTATAAATTATAATATAACCGTTTTATAATAATAATAACATATTCGTCGTCATGCTGGACTACTGTCTTGACGGGAAAAATACATGGTTCTGCAGATATCCTTCGGGTGCTATATAAGCTTAGCCTTAACTATTAAGTGCAATTATTAGGATCAGTATTATGGATTTATTTAGTACATTTAGTATGTTTATATATTATAATATACCAATACACATATAATTATAACGAACGGTTGGTATTTTATAGTAAAGAAGAAAAAACCGGTCTTGAGTGAATCGGTCGACCACCCAACTCCTACCAACAGTAATTCGGTATTTATCATCCTTATTATTATTATTATTTGATTTAAAACACAGTCACGCCTACCAGCCTACGTGGTTATGGTCGCAGAACATATTATTTTAATGATGTAAAAAGAATAATACGATATATTATAAGAATTATTATTTTTACACCAAGTGTAAATGTGCATCGTCATTCAGTAAAAAAAAAACCATCATAACAACATTATTACACTTGTGTTTTAACACGGTGAAGAATGCATAATATAAAAAAAAGCGCAGGTACACGTAATAATAATAATAATAACAACGACCATATAGCATACGGAGAATTGTTGTGTAAAGCGTAGGTATACCTGGTAGCCGGTAACACCGGTCGAACTCGAACTCGGTCAATATCGAAAACCTGAAGTCTAGAATATTATAAATTATGGGACAAAATATTAATTCACTATCATATTATAATAATATGATGTTGTTATGCGGGGGCGACGAATAAGGACGGTGATATAAACATTATCATATTATGTCTTGTATTTTCTAAAATAACTTTTTGAGACTAGAATGATAGCATAATATTTTAGAAAATAAATACCAAGGTAATTATTTTTAACAGAGGAAATTGTTTTGTTTCCTCTTTAGGGCTTAAGCGTACCACCGTACCTTTTTAAGAAAATGTTTAAGCAGACTACTTTTTAATCGAGGTCTGTGTTAGGGGGACCCCTACTTGCGTCCACTTACATAAACCTCTGCTCGTAGTCGTACATCCTTACGGTGGACGGTTCACAACGTAAACTATTTTGTGGTGTGCTTATGTATACATTATTCGGCCGTGAATCTCTAATTCTTACTTAGTCCCTATTATAGTAGATATTATTTTTTAGTGGATATCTCTCAACAATCACCAATTACAACAGTCATCGTGAAGTTACTTTTTACGTATTTATATATTATATATCATGCTTACAAATAATCGTGCAATTTTTAAATTACCTACCCCAATGGCCAATACCCGACACTTCATAAAATGTTTTCTATTTATTTTATTATTTGATAATTACTTTAATTTTGGCCGTACTGGCATCAGTATAAAATTAAGGCAGGCCAATTATGTAGGGGTAAAATAACAGGCTAATATTCTGTCACCGGTTCAGCCACACATTTTTATACTGTAATAGGGCCATATTTCCGGACACATTGGCGATGTTAGAGGTCCGCAAGTGAATGTTTTACAGTAAATTTCAGTGGACGACATGCTGGCCAAACGAGTAATCGTTTCAATTAACAACACCGGTACTAATAAGTTAATGAATGCATTGAATGCTCCCAGGAGGACTACTGTAACGAGCTTTTAATTTTTAAATAGTATATACATAATATTATATTATATATAAAGTGTGTAAATGTGTAATCCGGACTAATCCCTGTTATCAGAGTGTGTTGTATTTTCAATCGTGGTCATAATATTGTAAAATTACGAACGAGTGGTTTTAGTTTGGACATTAATGCTGGTCTTCCTCGGTGATCGGCGTAAAAATAATAACAATAATTTACTGGCCATCTAGATAGTCAAATTAATAAATACAATATGTCAATATTTATTTATTTATTTATTATATATATTCAACGGACGATAAGTCCTTAAACAGAAAAAATAAAAATATACAATAATACAACAGATTAAAGAGCAATTTCATAAAAACATAAAACTGAGTAGAACAAAGTAAAAATAATTAGGATAGTTTTCCAAAACAATAATAATTAAAACAACAATAAAAGTAGTAAGCAAATGAACAGTAAGTAAAAATATCAATACAATATAAAAATTGATTCAAGATTAGAAATGATTCATCTATTTAAATTATTAAGTAAAATTGACGTATTTGCTTTGAAGGAATAACGAGACATATTAAAAAAATCAAGTGAGGCAGAAATAATATTGGCTAAAAAAAGCTGTAGGGAGGAATGAATTAGTACCAGTGTTTGTTTTGTAGAATGGGATTTTAAACAAATCTAAGTTAAGTGTGTTTTTACGAGGAATACGGAAATTTATTAGAGCTAAGATCACAGGAAAAATAA